ATTAAACTCCAAGGATGTGAGTTTGATCCCCTCACATGGCCTTAGTATTTTCTTGGACCTCTCCCATTGTGCAGAAACAAATGTACACCTATTTTTAATTATTGAGTCCTGCATAGCCTATTATCTACAAGCAATACTGTTTGATTAGTCTATGTTTTATACACAAGTTTACACCTTTAATTTTGCACACCAATTTAAATTAGAGGCTTCTTCATAGCCTCTGTACTCTCTGTTCATTATGGTCAAGCCATCCTGTATAATTTGTTTATTTGTGCATTATGCTACTGAATTTTACTCCACAGGTATTACTTAGTTATTTCACGTTCAATTATGTCATGCTTATTTGTTTATAAGTGCTATTTTCTTGATGATAAATGCAAGATATGTTTACTACTTTCATTTATTAAGGAAAAAAAATCTCCATGTGTTTTGCTTGATCTCAGAAATAAATGTGTATCCAAGATGCATCAATTTCTGAGACAAGCAGGGAATGATACCAACATCCTAGTGTGGGTGCTGGTTTCCACACCCCTACTCCCCAGATCATTGTATAAAGTGCCCTCGAGTCATTACCCTTCATTCTCCCTTACTCGGCCCTCTCCTCTGAACACCTGGCAAATTGCCCTGTGCTATAGCTGTCAGCCCGTTAGGCCTGTGTGTTGTTAACCCTCGACGGGAAGGGGTTGGACAAGACCCACCCCAACCCCTTGTAGCACATTTATGTCTATATGTCATACTGTATATACAGTGTATATATATATATATATATATATATATATATATATATATATATATATATATATATATATATATATATATATATATATATATATAAATATGTCGTACCTAGTATCCAGAACGCACTTCTCAGCCTACTATGCAAGGCCCGATTTGCCTAATAAGCCAAGTTATCATGAATTAATTGTTTTTCGACTACCTAACCTAACCAAACATAACTTTTTTGGCTACCTAACCTAACCTAACCTATAAAGATAGGTTTGGTTAGGATAGGTAGGGTTGGTTAGGTTCGGTGATATATCTACGTTAATTTCAACACTAATAAAAAAAAAATGACCTCATACATAATGAAATGGGTAGTTTTTTCATTTCATAAACAAAAAATTAGAGAAAATATATTAATTCATGAAAACTTGGCTTATTAGGCAAATCGGGCCTTGCATAGTAGGCCGCGAAGTGCGTTCTGGCTACTAGGTACGACATATATATATATATATATATATATATATATATATATATATATATATGTCGTACCTAATAGCCAGAACGCACTTCTCAGCCTACTATGCAAGGCCCGATTTGCTTAATAAGCCAAATTTTCATGAATTAATTTTTTTCGACTACCTAACTTACCTAACGTAACCTAACCTAACTTTTTGGGCTACACAACCTAACCTAACCTATAAAGATAGGTTAGGTTAGGTTAGGTAGGGTTGGTTAGGTTCGGTCATATATCTACGTTAATTTTAACTCCAATAAAAAAAATTGACCTCATACGTAATGAAATGGGTAGCTTTATCATTTCATAAACAAAAAATTAGAGAAAATATATTAATTCATGAAAACTTGGCTTATTAGGCAAATCGGGCCTTGCATAGTAGGCCGAGAAGTGCGTTCTGGCTACTAGGTACGACATATATATATATATATATATATATATATATATATATATATATATATATATGTCGTACCTAGTAGCCAGAACTCACTTCTCAGCCTACTATTCAAGGCCCGATTTGCCTAATAAGCCAAGTTTTCCTGAATTAATATATTTACTATAATTTTTTTCTTATGAAATGATAAAGCAACCCTTTTCTCTATGTATGAGGTCAATTTTTTTTTATTGGAGTTAAAATTAACGTAGATATATGACCGAACCTAACCAACCCTACCTAACCTAACCTAACCTATATTTATAGGTAAGGTTAGGTTAGGTAGCCAAAAAAAGCTAGGTTAGGTTAGGTTAGGTAGGTTAGGTAGACGAAAAAACATTAATTCATGAAAACTTGGCTTATTAGGCAAATTGGGCCCTGAATAGTAGGCTGAGAAGTGCGTTCTGGCTATTAGGTACGACATATATATATATATATATATATATATATATATATATATATATGTCGTACCTAGTAGCCAGAACTCACTTCTCAGCCTACTATTCAAGGCCCGATTTGCCTAATAAGCCAAGTTTTCATGAATTAATATATTTACTATAATTTTTTTCTTATGAAATGATAAAGCAACCCTTTTCTCTATGTATGAGGTCAATTTTTTTTATTGGAGTTAAAATTAACGTAGATATATGACCGAACCTAACCAACCCTACCTAACCTAACCTAACCTATATTTATAGGTAAGGTTAGGTTAGGTAGCCAAAAAAAGCTAGGTTAGGTTAGGTTAGGTAGGTTAGGTAGACGAAAAAACATTAATTCAGGAAAACTTGGCTTATTAGGCAAATCGGGCCTAATATTTCGAAGGGGGTTCGATGCAGTCCTTGGCTCTTTTGGGTTGGTCGCTTCGGGTGACTCGTCTGCTGAGTTCTCGGGGTTTGGTTCTCCTGGTGGAATTCCTTTCCTTTCCACAGAATGGACGATCGATGCCGATTCTTTCAGTTGGCTCTGCCAGACGTTCAGGCACCCGGAGGAGGACCTCTTCGCGTCGGTGTGATCAAGGCGTCTTCTGGTATATATGGCGCCCTTCCCCGACCACGAGGCTGTCGGGATCGACGCCTTTCTGCAGGACTGGTCTAGGTGGGGGTTCCTGTACCTCTTTCCTCCGGTTCAGCTGTTGCTCCAGGTCCTGGCTTGCTTGGAAACTTGCTAGGGGCGAGTTGTCCTCTTGGCCCTGTGGTGGCCGGCCCAGCTTTGGTTTCAGGTGCTGCTTGCCCAGTGTCCGAACCCGGGGGGTTTTCCGCAGCTCCACCTCTTCCAGAAGATCGGCCCGGTCTGTTACGAGCTTGGTTCGCTCTTCTCCTCGAGTCCTTGTATTTGGTATTTTTGACTCGAGTTTATCACCATTTGTATGGTGATCAGGTGGCTTCGTCGATGGTGTCCCACCTGTGGGCTTCGTCTTGGCATTAGTATGAAGTTTCCTGGCGGTCCTTCCGTTTCTTTCTGACTCTTCGTCATTGTACTTCGCTTTCGGTTCGGGTGATGGTGTCCTTTCTCTCATGGTTATTCCAGGACCGTCATCTTATGCGGAATACTGTCGCCTCATATCGTGCGGTGCTGGCGGAGCCGCTTCAGCTCGCTTTTGGTATAGATGTTACTTCTGCGCCGTTTCGCAAGCTGTCTCGTGCGTTGTTTCACTTCCGGCCTGCTCATGCGCTGCCTGAGCCGTCCAGGTCTTTGGACAGAGTGCTCTCCTATCTTTCTTCTCCTCGGTTTGTTGTGGCCCCTTCGGTTTAGGATTGTTTTTCGAAGGCTCTTTTTTTTCCTGTTGGCATTGGCCCCCAAGGGTTGGGTCGGGGAGCTTCATGCTCTCCTCTGGCACAGGAGTTTCTGCTCTTTCGGTCCGGCAGATAGGTTGTTCGTCTGCAGCCGTCTCCTTTATTTCTTGCGAAGAATGAGACTGCTGCTTTCCGGAGGGGTCCTTGGGTTATTGATGCTTGGTTGGTCAGGCCGGGGGTGCATCATGTTTTGTGTCCGGTTGGGGCTCTCCGCCATTATTTGCGCGCCACGGCTTCTGTGTTCTTGGACGTACTTTGGGTTGATCCGGTTTCCCTTCTTCCCTCTTTGTGGGTACGGGTCTCTCAGATTGTCCGCAGGGTTATTAAGCCTAGCCAGCCTGCGGTCTATCCCCGTGCCCATGACGTTCGTTAGTTCGCTGCTCTTGCTGTCATTTTTGGGAACATGTCCTGGGTTGACATTCGGGCACGGGGTTTTTGGCGGTTGAACAGGGTCCTGGCTGCACGCTACCTCGTGAACGTTCCTGGGCCTAGTCGGGCCTGTGTTGCTTTTGGTCGGCGTCTGCAGCCTGTCTCGACTTCGAGTTGAGGTGTGGAGCACTGACCGCCTCCCGGGTAAGTCCCCTTTTTCCTCAGTCTTTGGTGAAATAGCTCCAGGGAGCCATAAGGGCTCCCCCCAGAAAACCAGCGTTGAATGTAATAAAACGTAATTTTCTGGGTGAGTCCCGGAGGCTCCCCAGCAACCCTCCTTCCTTCCAGTCGACAGTTTTCACGTCTTTTGATAGCTAGTCTCGGAATTGGAGGTATGGATCGCCGGCGCGGTTCTGGGGCTCCCCTTTCCCCCTCCCAAGGAGGGGGGAGCTGCGCAGACATGCGGCGCAGCTCGTGTGACGTCATGCTTGTTTGCTCTTTTCCCTTGGGGGAGTTCTGTCCACTTGTTTTGTTATTTTTATTGGTTTCACCAGAATAGGGGTTTGTTTTGAGGCGCTTACCTTTCTGGGTGCCTGTCTGGGTCGAAGGCAGATATAGAATGTTCCAAAATCTCATGTGCATTTCTATAGGCCATTGCTCCTTGTGCCTCTCTGAAGGGGCCAGGTTCTGGCCGTGGTTCCCGGTAGGCCTAGAACTCCACCCACATCGACTGATGCCAAAAGTTAGGACTATCCCTATCAGCCTGGATAGCTCCGGGGAGCCTCTGGGACTCGCACAGAAAATGACGTTTCATTACATTCAGCACTGGTTTTTTCGGGTACTGTATTATATTACTATAGTGCAGGTACAAAATTCTGTAATTGGTGTCCATATCAACAGGTACGTTTATCCCATGACTCGCTACGTGGATGAAGACCACATAGCCATCAAGCCAATGTCTCGCGAGTTCTTTGAAATCATCGACACCATACTCAACTCCGAGTATTATACTCCCAATCCTCACGATGCGTGCATCCTCGTTCCTCCAGTAGACACATTGAATGATAATAACCTGAGGAAGGATAAGATCGCTCAGACACTGGCCATGCTTCCTTAGTAAGTGAATTTTGCTTTTATCACTATTCAGTGCCAATATGTGTTTTCTTAGCACCATTAAAAAGACCATGTAACATGAACACTTCATTATCATACAAAATCTTATTTTGACACCATCTTCTGTTAATGAAATACAGTACTTGCCACCATCTTGGCTGTCATTTCTTTGAGAATGTATAAATATTGCTGCTGGTTACCATTGGCTGTTTACAAAAATATACTTGACTATGACAGTAAATGTTGGTGGAAAGCCTGAATATAGAGAACTAAGGAATTTACAGCATTGCAATAAGGAGAGGCATTAAGAGTTTATAAGGTTAATGGAGAGATGAAGGAAGTGATGTGATGTTCCATTGAGTTTGGTTGGGTACAAATAGGGGTTGCTGTACATAAGCCAATTGCCCTTCTGCATTGTTATGTTCTCTTGCGTGTGGATTGTCGAGGGGCATAGCCATTTGAGTGTAGGGTCAGCCGTGTGTCGTGGATTGTGTTGGTCAGATGCATAGTCGCTCAGTACCAAGTATGTTAGCATGTGTTAGCATTAACATTGGTGTGCTCATTAACAAAGACCCGGGGGGAAGCAAACACGGGGTCTACTCGGGAGGAGCATTTCTTTCCAATTGATGCTCTATTTTTACTCTAGGAAAAAATCTGATTATTATTTGAGTGTGGAAACAAGCAAAAATATATATTCATAATTTTTAGTAAGAAAAGTGATACCAAACTTCATGAAAGATAAAAACAAAAATTTAATTTGTTTAAAATTTGGATGGGGTTCAGAATGCTACTGAGCTGAATTTCAAGGTTATACTGTACAGTATGTAGTAATTGGGTCTTGTACTGTACTTATTTTAACCCATGATTAAATTTTAGATTTTTTCCATTATTTTTTATATTTTTTATATTATGTAAGGTCTTTCATGTCTGGTAGACAGTTCTAGTTAAAGCGTATACAACCAAACTGCAGATGCCAATATATATAATGACAAATATTTTAAAACTGCAGTACAGTAGTGTAATTACAAAGATACACCCAACATTACAAAGGCTGCTTACCAAATGTTAGCGAGAGAGGTAAACTAATGTGTTTTTGGCTAACTTTTGAGCCAGTACAGTAATTGCTTGAGGCCAAGACAGAAATGGTTGGGCACATTTTCTTTCACCTAATGCCTCTGTTGCCCTAGTAGTAAGTATACCCGAGAGTCGAGCAACTGTTGTGGGTTGCATCGAGGGGGAAGGTCAGTATATTTATATACATACACAGGCTTTCTATCCCCAACAACATGAATTATTATATACATTAAAGCCATGTACACCCTCCACTAGTTTAGACTGTAATTTGCTTAGCTAATTGAATTTTTGGGTTCAGTTCCTGAACCTATTATATGCCTTTATAATTTTGGGAATAGGTTTGGGATGCATAATAATAAATGAACTAAACTAGAGTGCAGTCATATTGATTTTTTTTATACTGTTGAATATAATTTTGGTTATATTCCACAGCTGGTCAGAGGGTGAAAACCATCTCCTCTTCACCATGTTGCCGGGAACACCTCCAATATTTGACACAACACTGAACTTGGCACATGGCAAGGCACTCATGGCTGGCGGAGGATTTTCCTCGTTTACATATCGTCGGGGATATGACGTCTCCCTACCCGTGTATAACCCAGCCCACCAAGACTCCCCTGTAGGAAGAAAGCCAGTGTAAGCCTGGCGATTTCCAAATCATTGGGTTTTCCCTTGTGCCCAAATACAGAAGCGCCACTCTAAGGCTGAGTCGTGATAAACTTATGGAGCAGATGTGTAAATTTGTGGCTCTCAGATAGTGTACTTTTTTTTTTTATCAAAGTTGAATATTACAGTAAGCTCTTGATTACATACCTGGTTTTGATTCATTATTAGAGTTGTATCTTTTATGTGTTAAGTTTTGAAGAATATATATTATACTAGGAGGGGTCCCTGGGATAGTCTCTCCTCACACCCCTCCATTCCAACTTTCTTCTTTCCTCCTCTTCCCTCCCCTCATTACCCCTCTTACTCCCCTTTTCTTGCCCTTTCCCTTCTCCTCCTCTTCCCTTTTGTCTCCCCCTTCACCCTCATCTCCCTTCCATCTTGAAACAGATTGAAATTTTAATTTATATACTGTATATATAAAGTAAATCATTACAGTGCATGGGTAAGTGGCAGGAATAATGTTAGAGAGAATGGACCACAAATGTTAACCCTTGTGTTGCTCAGGGCTAATTAGCATTTGTCACCCACAGGCATATACCAAAAAAAAAAAATTATTTTTTCTTCTAAACCTGTTAATTTGTGTTCTCTGATCATGTGAAAAATAATAAAAAAGTCGTAAGTGGCATATATTGCCCGCTATAGGGCGGGGAAGTCTGGCAAAAAACAGGCGCTGACTCAGCGTGCGTCCTAGATGGTCTGTTGCTCCCAGCTGTCAGGCAGGAGTGGCCACAAAGAGATAATTACCTAATTATTTCAATGTCTCTGATTTTTTGTTGTTTTTGCTGTAATATTACTCAATAGTGTGTAGTGTGATATATTTATATAATAAAATGAGTGAATCATCGATGTACTCAAAAATATGGTGTGCATATTGCTGATTCAATTATTATGTTCATCAAACAGTGAACAAATACTTTGTCGGTTATTACACTATATACACAGGTTATATGTATCTGCATGTTTTGTTCACCATAACGAACCACTAAGTTGGTATTGTGAGTCAAATCAGGATACGAACTTTTCATTGGGATACGAGTTTGTTGATACGCGTACGGCCGACCTAGAGCGTGGTGGCATGGCGATCGCGCCTCAGTTTACCAGTGCCTCACGCCCAGTGACTATCCCGCCTGAATTCTTCACAAGAATTTACAGTTTTTTGTCAGATTTTTGGCCATTTGAGCATAAAAGTTGTTATTGTATATCTCGTCATGGGGTCCCAAGAAAGCCAGTGGTAAGGTTCAAAGCAAGAAATCACATGTGTGAAAGAGCATAGAGGAAAAGCGAGATCATTCATAAGCATGAAAAATGGTACTCGTGTTGTTGAATTAGCTAGGCAGTACAACAAATCTTCAGGGAAGGAAGAGGAGGCAGTAGAGAATGTGAATGTCCCTTCCTCATTAATTAAGAAAATGTGTGCAATATGGGAAGGACTGCAAAGTTTTGCTGAAAAGAATCACCCAGATAAAGCTGTAGTAGGCCATTGCATTGATCTTTTTAATGACAATGTGATGCCTCACTACAGACAAGTGTTGCAAAGAAGGGAAAAACAATCTTCAATGGAATGTTTCCTTGTGAGAAAAGTGAGAAAATCAAGCCACAACCAACCACAACCAGGATCTAGTTGAGCCACAACCAGGACCTAGTGGAGCCACAACCAGGACCTAGTGGAGCCACAACCAGGACCTAGTGGTATGCAGACAAAATGTGCCAGAGAGTGCACCCCAGAAAAATCATCACTGTCTGATGTTATAATGGAAGGGGACTCCCCTTCCAAACAGTAACACCTCTCCTCCTCCCCTCCTCACTATCTTCCATACGTCAACAGGAGTCATCTGCAAGGGTAAGTAATAACTTGAACATACTTTTATAGTGAAGATTTGGGTGAATTAGGTATAAAATTTACTTTGAAGTGAAGTTTTTGGGGAGTCAGGAATGGATTAATTCATTTCCCATTATTTCTTATGAGGAATTTTGCTTCGGTTTATGAATTTTCGGGTTACGAACCGTCTACAGGAATGGATTAAATTCTTAAACCGAGGTACCCCTGTATTGTATTTATAATAGACCTACAAAAGTGAGGCTCATTAGGAAGTGGTGTTTTAGGTATTACATCAGACGATTGTCTCGGTTTCTCTCTCAACAGCTCACACACGAGAAAATGGCAAAATTATCATTAAGTATTGTATATGATTGTTCTGTATTTCATATTTGCTACTGCAAGCAAGAAGCGCATGAATTTTAAATTGTTTGTGTACACACAACAGGGCGTCCCGTCGCTGGTTTGTGGTATCATCACAGATCAACCTCCATCGAGACTACCGTGAGGATCTGGAGGGCCAGCATAAGAACAAACAGATGCAGCATAATGATTTGCTCATCTTGGACAAGTGTCAGCCCTTCACTAACCTCACAGTCAGGTGTCATGGGTCGAAGATATTTTCCTACCCAGAGGTGCTAAGGGTAAGAGCTTGAGGATGCGCACAAATTATTTCATGTTTGCATTCAGTAAAACATTTTTACTTATACTTATTAGTGGATAATTTTGGATTTTGGATAGCTGGTTACATCCTCTCGTCTAATACATTACATTTGTTAACGAATCAACAATCCCTTAAAAATGCGATATACAGTACTGTATTGGTGAAAGTCAAAGCACTGTAATATTGATGTTTTCTGTTCCTTGGCCATGATAAGTGTGCTTCAGGCCGGGCTCGGGGAGTAGAACAACTCCCAGAGCCTTCGCCAGGTATGCTCCAGATAGGATAGGTGGATTGCTTGGGTTCATTTGTTTCTGGTAAGGCATTTTTTTTTTTTTTTTTTTTTTTTTTTTTTTTTTTTTTTTTTTAGCAAATGTAGAGAACAGACTGGGTTTACTTGCTCTAGAATGTAAAACAGCTTTTGTATGTTACTTGTAAGAAGCCTGTTCATGAAATTAAAGAATGGTGATACCTGCTTGATGGGGTTCTGGGAGTTGTTCTACTCCCCAGGCCTGGCCTGAGGCCATGCTTGACTTGTGAGAGTTTGGCTATTATATATTATATAAGTATATTATATAAGGCTATTATATAATATATAAAAGATTAATGACAATGACACATGCCAGTTAATTTGTAAAAATAAGGATGAAGGAATAAAGAGCATAAGGAATGAGAGACTATAAATGCTAGAAAAGTGGGGGTTTCCCCCTCCAATATCTCTCTCAAGTAGTATTAAGCAATCAGTGAAGTAGATTTAGCTTTAATCTTCAAGACATGACAAAATATATAGATTTAATTATAAAAGAATAAAATATATTAAATATATCTCGCTACAATTCTGGAGAATTTTAAAAGTGAGCATGAGCAAGGGGATGAAAAATAAACTTATATTTGTGTAAAAGGAAGATCATTGAAGAGACATGAAAATACATTGAATCATTGAGCAGTTATTGTAATTTTGTTCATTAAATTAACCATGTGTTTGCTACTAACAAATTTGCATAAGGTGGAAATTTAAAAAAAAAAAAGGCACTGAATGTAATGAAATGCTTCTTTCTGGAAGAGCCTCAGTGGTTCCATGTAGCTATCTTGCTGATCGCAAATGGAGCAATAGATTGCTCAATTCTAAAAGGTCCTGTTAGTTGAAGAAATTTTGTTTGGTCCACAGGGACTAGAGCCAGAACCTATTCCCCTTATAGAGGCACAGGGTGGAGTGAGAGTTCTCTACCTCATTGGAAAAAAAGCCTCTTGAAAGTTAGCGAAGCTTTAAAGACAGCCGGAAGGTTCACAGAAAATGAAGCCTTGAAACTGCCCAGTAACTCTGCAAATAATTCACACAGAACTAAAACCAGCTTTAAACTCGTTAGTACTGATTAACACCACCAGGTAGCCAAGCCTCGGCCAACAGCTGACTCCCCAGCTTGGTCCAGGAGCTAATGATCAACAACTCCATGATGAAGCAACAATCCTGGAGGGAGGGAGGAGGAAGAATGAGGGAGTCACCAGGGCTTCTCCAGAAAGAGGCATTTCATAATACTGGTATTCTATGGTGATTTTCTGGGGGGAGCTCCCCAGTGGCTCCCTGAAGCTAAGAAGAAAAATGGGTCTTCCCAGGGAGGAGGAGAGGCAGGAGACACCATGATGAACAGAATCCAGGCTAGGAAACACTGTCCAAGTAACATAACCAATTGAGATCAGGAACAGTGACTAAATACTGATCCATAAGAATCCTGTTAGAATGCCAAAACCAATGAGCCCAAATATCAACCCAGAACATGTGAGAAAAGACTGCAACCAAAGCCTCATTCTTGTGAATATCTTGGGCGATCAGAACATGATATTTGTGGAGGGTAGACCACAAACTGGCTAGACTTGATGACACTGTGGACAACCTGAGTGTGTGTGAAGTGTGACAACACTTCAAAAACTCCAGATGTGAAGAGCAGAGCAGTTCAAACTAGTGAAGTACCTGTACATCGCTGGGCCAATCTGGTGATAAGAGACTGAGCCAAGGAAAAAAGCTCGGGTTTGGACACAGGACCAGAAGAGCCAGAAACGAAGGCTGGGCTGGCCACCAAAGAACCCAGAAGGATCACCTTCCCCAAGTATGACTCCAGACTGGACAGCACCCTGAGCCACAATTGAATGCGGAAAAGGTAAATGCACCTCGACCAGTCCATTCACAAGGCATCCACCATGAGAGCCTCGTGATTGGAGATTGAGGCCACGTAAGGGAGAAGGTGCTGGTTCCATGCTGATGTGAAGAAGTTCACCTCGGGGCAACTGAACATCTCACAGAGCCAACAGAAGATACAGCATCGATGGTCCATTCCATAGAAATGGGGCAAAAGCAAGATCACCAGTCCACAAGAACATTAGATACACCCCGCATGTGAACACACTGAGAACCAAGCCCAGGGAATCCAGAAGCCAAGTTACTTAAACATCCAGCTCCACAGGGCAATGAAATGAAGCATCTTCCAACAGTTCAAGCAATGAACCATTGGGGAGCAGTCAGAAAGAAGCCGGAGTACAGAGCCTGGAGGAAGCCGTATACTCCTCAGGGCATGCCACACAGCCACAAACTTGTGCCCCTGAAGTAATGGGCCCGACCGCTGATGCTGGGCAGCCTGGTGAGCATTGGTCACATAATGGGGGGGGGGGATGGCACCTTGGAACTGAACCCCGACAAACCCAAAGGGGAAACTAGAGAAGCAAGAGCTTACTTGAACAATATTACAACACTGGTGATCTGTTATCTTATGTGCAATCAAATCTTCTTAAGCTAACGCTTGAGCGAAAAGGCATTTACGATCAAATAATTCAAACTTTCCATAATGGGTTTGGAGAAATCATTTTAGATGCGTCAGGAGGATCTGTAAAACCTTTCTAATTAGATTGATTTTGGCAGCATTTCGATCTTAAAATGGCATTACCTTAGCTCTTGCATCGTCCGGAATAGCTGCGACATTGCTACCAGGTGGAAGAACTGCTACTTCGGCTTTGAAATTGCCATTGAACATGCGATTCATTGAAACTTCCACGTGCAACATTTTCAAAGCATCCGGCATGGGAAAAGTATTGCAGAAATGTAAACTTATTGTTTGGGATGAAAGCACAATGGCCCATAAAAAAATCGCTCGAGACTCTTGACCGATCATTGCAAGATTTGCGTGGTAACATCAGACAATTTGGGAATGCATTAATATTACTTGCAGGAGATTTCATGCAAACATTACCTGTAATTCTTAGATCAACACTAGTGGACGAAATAAATGCTTGCCTGAAATACTCTACTTTGTGGCGCCACGTAAAGATGTTAAAATTAACTACAAATATGCATGTCCAACTGCAAAACGACTCATCAGCTGAGATATTCTCACATCATTTTCTGGAAATTGGGAACGGAAACGTGCCGGTTGATCTGACCTCAGGACGAATTTCATTGCCTCATAACTTCTACAATTTAGTGACGTCAAAAGAAGAATTGGTTGAAAAAGTATTTCCAAATATTCAAGCCAATTATAAGAATCACGATTGGCTGAGTGAACAAGCTATTCTTGAGGCCAAGAACAAAGACGTCTAAGAACTTTACAATATTTTTCAGTCTAACGTACAAAGCAAGGCAGTCACATACAAGTCCGTCGACACTGTGGTGGAAGTAGATGAAGCGAATAATTATCCAACAGAATTTTTTAATTCACTCGATCTGCCAGGAATACCACCACCGCACGAACTGTAATTAATATTGGGCGTGCCAATTATCATGTTACGAAATATCAACCAGCGAAAGCTTAGCAACGGCACGCGGCTTGCAGTAAAAAGTTATTCAGCAACGTCGTAGAAGCAACAATCTTGGCAGGACCTTTCAAAGGTGAAGATGTCCTCATTCCTCACATTCCTATGATTCCAACGGATTTGCCATTTCAATTTAAGAGATTGTAATTTCCCAATTCGATTGGCGTTTGCAATCAACATCAACAAAGCTCAGGACCAATCTTTAGAATTGTGCGGTTTAGATCTAGACACTGATTGCTTCTCACATGGACATTTATATATTTCCTGTTCTACAGTCGGCAATCAGAAAATCTCTATATCTTCACAAACAGTGGAACAAGAAAAATATGTTATATACACACAAACATTGTGAAATTAAACAAGTTAGAAACATGAATTTTCTGTTTTCTTTCTTTTTCATTTAACCAGAGAGAGCCACAGCAACGCGTGGCAGGTACAGCTTGTATATGTATATGTCGTACCTAGTAGCCAGAACGCACTTCTCAGCCTACTATGCAAGGCCCGATTTGCCTAATAAGCCAAGTTTTCCTGAATTAATATATTTTCTATAATTTTTTTCTTATGAAATGATAAAGCTACCCATTTCATTATGTATGAGGTAAATTTTTTTTTATTGGAGTTAAAATTAAGGTAGATATATGACCGAACCTAACCAACCCCACCTAACCTAACCTAACCTATCTTTATAGGTGAGGTTAGGTTAGGTAGCCGAAAAAGTTAGGTTAGGTTAGGGTATATATATATATATATATATATATATATATATATATATATATATATATATATATATATATATATATATATATATATATATATATATATATATATATATATATATATAATAGTCTAATAGGGGGTATAGGTGTTGTGTTAGACTATTTTAGACCCCCTATTAGACTATTTTACAGGAACTTCTTTTCCACAGCTCATAAAACGGAGGAAAGGGTCCTGAAAGATATTGTTAATAGAAACGTTATCCCTACAGACAAAAATCAGAGGATACAACTGACGATTTACTATAAAACCAGAAAAACGGCCAGCCTACTCATGAGAAACTCTCCAGACACAAAACAGAACGCTTTAAAAGAGACTAACGTCGTCTATGCCTTCAAATGCCCACTTGGGGACTGTAAGCTCCAAAAAACCCAGTATATAGGCAAGACAACAACATCTCTTTCTAGGCGTTTAACGATGCATAAGCAACAGGGCTCCATTAAGGAACATATAATCTCTTCCCACAACCAAACCATCGCCAGAGAAATCCTAGTAAACAACACAGAAATCATCGATAGATACAGCGATAGCAGGCGGCTTGACGTTTGCGAGGCACTACACATCAAGAAGTCAACACCAGCAATCAACAGCCAATTATTGCACAACTATATTCTACCCACCTCAAGACTCCGCTCCAATATAGAAGCATTAAGAAATATGGACCAATAGGCTTTCTACAAACACTTCTATTCAATACCCATTGTTTGTGTTCTGTCTTGTGTTGATACTTTTAATACCCTATTAATATCCCCTCTTGTTCTGTCTTGTGTTAATAC